CAGCAAATGATAATTAAACACCTGTGAAATCAATTAGCCCTTTAAGCAGGGAAAAAAAAAAGTTTTCCAATTATGTTTTTGCACCTCCAAACTTTCTAATTCCAGAACCAGCACTTGTGGAGAGGGAAATGAACTGTCAGCCAGCAGCCTGCTAACCAGCGCTAAGATCACCCGAGAGCATGGCGTGGCCGTAAATCCCAAAGCAAGCAGTCTGTGGGGACAGCACCCTTCCAAGCAGGACGCGGTAGCCTTCCGAGCTGCGACTTAGGCAGCTATCTATCTGACACACAGCTGAGCTGTCGGGTTTTCTGCAAAGACGGTTACTCACTTGGTGTTTCCAATGCCAAGTTTTGCTTGACAGTTTATTTAAAAGCCGGCATACCTTAATGGAAACCAAGCAACGAGACACGCTGTGTGACAGAGTGGGTTTCTTTTCAGCCTCTCCAGCCCATAGTTCACAGCCATCTGCATTAAGAATCACCCACAGAAAACTGGCTGATTGCTTAATAGCTGAAACTTAATATACTGGAAAACTAGGGAACGCTCTGCCATTTAGCCTCGCATTATAGGTCTTTAATATCTGTCTTTGTTATAGCACTTGAGCTGATCCAGCTACTTTTGGAAGGTGCAGCCTGTGTCCATGGGCTTGCAGCCTCAGGGAGGGAGCCCTGGACATACTTGGTAAAGTGCCATTGCGATTTTTGGCTCGTGAAGGAAAAAACAGCTCTAGTCCCATCTGACATCTACAGCGGTATGTGCTGATCCTCCCTGCCAAGATGAGCTCCAGCATCTTCCAAAAGATGGATTATGTGTGGCGCTGCTAAAATATATGCTGCTGGGCTGAGGCCATGGCGTTCAGTTCGGTTTCTGCTCCTGTGCTCTCCTCCATCTGAGGCACCGTACAGGCTCTCGGTGGGCGCTGTGCCCCCAGAGAGCAGGGAGGCAGGCGAGGACGCTGGGGGTGGCATTCCCAGGGTCTGCCCAGCAGTCATCTCTATCTCAGGTTGTCCATCTGTGAAATGGAGCTGGTGGTGATGTCTTGTATCAGTGATCAGAGGATTGTGTAGGAAAATACGTACACTGCTTTGTGACGAAGCGTGGTGATAAGCATTACATCCGAGTAGCTGGACGTGTGTGCTGGTTTCAACAGCCTGCCGTCTTTGCAGACCTCTTTTTGGTCGGTGCCGATTGTTGCTTTTATAAACAACACAGTTTATATTAAAATTGGTAGCGCAGACGTTTCCCAGGGTCGTTTATAGAAGCGTAGTGACATGGGGAAATGCTTTAGCTGTGAGGAGGAATGCGTGGCATGGCTGAGTCACGGCGGAGCCTCCGCCGCCTGCCTGCCTTGGGATAACGGGGAGCCAGGAATCCCAAGCAGCCGCCTGACCCACGGGCTGATGGACGGCACCCCACAAAAATAAAAAAAAGGGGGGGAAGTGACAGAAACAACACTGTTGGGTCAAGAAATTAAACCTGTAAGAGCCCTTCACTGAACGACATTTCTCCTCCCGGTAATTGCCTGCGCAGCGTTTCGGTGTTTACACCTGCGTGATAGATGGGGCTGGCCGCGTTTTCCCAGCTCTAGGTGGTAGCAGGGAGGGGATATTTCAATTAAAGCGTGAATACATTAGGATTGATTACAAATAGAGCTATTTGTTTATGCTGCCTAAAAAAAAAGGTATTAGCTGAGAACGCGGTGCACTTAATCATCGTGGAAGGAAACCTGAAAGTTAATAAAACATACTGCTGATCCTTACCGAGGGATGCGAGCTTTGGGTTCATTCCATAGCTATTTTAGTTTTATAACCCCAACTGTGACTTTAAAGGCATATGCATTTTGGATTTTGACATGTCTGGATGATGCAGCTGAGGCCCAGTCCGAGCTGTCCCTAAAATTGGCAGCAAAATGTTACCTCGGTGCGGACGTGCCGCAGGAAGGAAAGCTGGAGCAAGAGCAGTAAGCGCGTGTCCCCCTTCCAAGGCCATCTTCAAGCCAAGAAACCAGGAGCTTTTGGAAATAAACAGCCTCCGAGCAAAGCAGCAAACTCCTCTCAAAGCTTTTCCTGCAATAAATGCTCCGGGGGATCAACCTACCTAAAGGGGAAGACCAGGATGAGGCAGCAGAAACCAGGGTGTGCTGGTTTGCGGGAGGCGGCTGCTGCTCCTGTTTCTTACGTGAAGGTGGGCCCCAAAAACCCTCCCTCATGTCTGAGTTTGCCTCCCAGAGGTCTCGCTGAGATCAGTCGGTGAAGATCAGGGGGAAGTTAAGCCCATGATGGAAGCGATGTTGGTGTTTACCACAGGTACCAGGTCAGCACTGAAGGGAAGAGTTCCCTGCTGCAGCAGGTTGTTCGCACCTGGCAAAGGGCAGCGGGGCCCTATGCCTGTGGTGCCTCATGACATCCCATAGCACATGTTGGCCCCATTCTGTACACATTCTTTCATACTTAGTGCTGTTTCTGGTTTTGTTTCATGTGGGCCTCTTGTGCCAACACCTCTAGATCTGCCTTGCAGTGGCCCTGAAGCTGCACATCCACCTCATGGCCTGTAGGTTCCCTCACCACACAATGCTTTGGTAGCTAATGCCTTCTCCAAGCCCATATTTAAACACCCGGGGCTATCTTCTCTCTTTCAGTTACATCAGTGCTGCCCACAAACTAGTAGTAGTAAAATTGGCCTGTAGTATTTAAGGGTTTCAAAGCAATAAGTGCCTCGTCCCAGGGTGTTGGCTGAGAGGAATTAAACTGGGAACCAGTCCTTTCGCACTGCACTCCGAGATGGTGTTGAGTCACCTTAAAAGATTCAGGCTGAAATTGCAGAGAAATTTGTCCCTGAGAAGAAAGTCGGTGCAATTCATGAACTGCAGCGTCTCTTGATGGATTTTGCTTTACTCCGGGTCTGCTCGTGTTACATTTGCGGGTTCTCCCTGAAGTGAGTGGAAATTTTGTGCCCATACATCAAGGTTAGGATGAGGCTCTCTCTCCCTGTATGCATGATGTAGATAAATTACTTGATGACCATGAACCATGCTATTCCAGAGCTAAGCAATAAATCACAGGTTCAGCTTTAAAAGGCACAAACAGGAGCAAGATCCTAACTGGTTTTCGGGTGGGAAATGGTCGACAAATGCCTTTTATTTGCTTTCGAAAATCTATCCTAATACCAGCAAATCAGATATGAAAGAAAGAGGGCCCGATATAAAACCCCGCTGACATATGGAGGTCTCACTTCCACCGCCCTTGGCCTCTGCTTTTCCTTTGTGCTCCGATTCTGCCATTGACGTTTTGTGGATATCGTTGCATTCCGGGGTATTAACAGGATTTTACATTTTTAGCTAGCTATTGATAGCTACCATTAGAATACACCAGTCCCAGGAGTTATATAGGAGTTATGACTGGTGTATTTTAGCCCTACGGGGTATTCTATTTTTGGTATTTATTAAGATTTTCTGTCATACAATATACAGTAAAAGCAACGAGTCTCAGACCTACTATGCGAAAATGAATGCTTAAAAATGGCAAGTTTTTTTTTTTGGCATTGCAGCTTCTTGATGTTTTCCCCCATGTGCTGTGTCACTGCTGACTGCTGAGCTGAGGCTTTAGGTGCCGATCAATGTCCCACACCGAGAAAAGGAAATTACTGCCACTCACATGGGATATAATATATGTGTTTTAACCAAAGTTGGGATACGATTTAAAAAAAAATGTACTTTGAAGTCTGTTTTGTAGTTTTAATTAATGCAGCGAGGGTTTTTATTTTACTCTCAGTGGAGATAATCTTAATCCATTCACAGTGACCTTTTCTTGTGCAAATTAGTTGTACACGCTTGTTTAAGCAAATGGGCCTTTGCAAGATGTCTCTTCCTAAAGACGGAGCTTATAATTGAAAATTGGCTTACTCCCATCTGTCTGGCCTGGGCGAGAATACAAACATAGATCTGGAGTTTTTTATATAGAAAAGTGTAATCATATACATACGTATATATATATCCGTATCCATATCCACAAATGCAAAAAACTTGCTGTGCCTGCAGGCTGTGATTAAATTAGATTCTTAGTGTTAGGAAATTTCGGTGTCACAAGTTGGTGTCAAAATAATGTCTTGTCTCCAGAGTTGAGGAAACCCTTCAGAAAGGAGGGGTGTTTAATCCTGAGCCCTTTGTCTCAGGAGGAGCGTTGCAGCGAGGTCAATGCCATTCGCAGTTGTACAGGTTTGCCAGAAGTACAATTAGCTAATAACTGGCTGGAAACTGTGGGGATCTGATGGTGGGTTTTTTTGGTAAATGGTTTTGTAGTGATTGATGGAATCGGGGGAATAAACAGAAGTATCTTAAAGATGTAATTCAGAGGAGCAGGGGTCACTGCAGCTATGTGGTTAATTGCCAAAATTTGGCTGTCAAAGCAGTTTATCCCTCCTTCTCCTCTCACCACACTCCACAATAACCACCTAGAGAGTCATTGTGGCCCCCTTCGCTTTGTCAGTGCCTGGTTGATAAGGGAAGATTTGTGTGGCAGAGTTTGAGTATTTTTTTTGCTTTGTACAAACCCCTTATGCGGAAATGAACACAGTTGTGCGTGACTCGGACTGAATCTGAATAGAAATCAGTCTCACAGGGGTGCGGTGATGACGCTTTAGGTATAAAAGCATTTAATCTAAGTTTATTGTTAAGAGTTCATGCACACCTACTTACACAGACGTGGCTGATTTCTGTGAAGGCGGAATGATTCCCTTCATTCTCGGTTTCAGTGCTGCCGTCCCAGTGCTCTCCCGTGGTGGCTGCTCCTCGGGGAGACCAAAGAGGGGCGAGCACGATGGTCACACACGTGCACACACACGTGTGCACACAGGGGAGGGAGCTGGTTAACCTGGTGGAGAGCCATCCTGGTCAGAGATGATTTTATCCAGACGTGTCTCAACAGCTGTTTGCATTTTCATGCCCAGTTACTCGAGGACTCGCCGCTAATTGAATTTTCTCTTTTCTCCCCTGTTCTTGTTAGGTATGATTACCGTGAAATGCTGCACAATGCCACTTTCTGTCTGGTTCCCCGTGGCCGCAGGCTTGGCTCGTTCAGGTTTCTGGAAGCCTTGCAGGTAAGAGCTGCAGCTTAAAGCACTGCCTGTGCTGGCTGCAATTCAGCATGCAATAGCAGGGAGGTGGGGAGGGGAGAAACGTGTTTCATTTCCCTCATGGACAGTAATCCACTTTGCAAAAGCCTCTATTCATACTTCTGGAGCAATTGGCAGCTTCTTCCCGGGGGGGCTGAGCACTGCACTCATCTGCAGGCTGAGTTGCATTGCCTCCAGGAAAAGGGTTTCCCTGGAGGTGGTGGGGCTGGGGGGTTGGACCAGCCTAGAGCACAATTTCGTCAAGCTGTGAGGCTTCCCGTGGGGACACTGACCTCCAGCAGTAAGGCCTGCAGCAGTGAAGTAGCTCTTCCTTTCCACTTAGCCAAAAGAGACCTGCACCTGCATCGTCTCCCTTGCATTGCTGCTTGCTGAACATGCCAAAGGTGGCCCAGAGGTTGTAGAGCCCAGATGGAAGCATCACATAAAGGTGGATGTAGGGAGCATACAGTGTGTTTGGGACTTCACCCAAATCCCCTTGACCTTTTAAAAGCATTTTGGTTATAATTTCCCTTTTTTTGCTGTTGGCTAGCCAGGCTCAGCAGCACAGCCATCAGGTTTCTGTCCCGGGCCTGACACTGACCTGAGCCAGCTGCGGACAGCACGACCTTGTTTTTTTGCCAGCATCAGCTCATCCCCAGGGTCCTGGATCTTCAGTCAGCCGTACTGAGCATCCTGGGAGGTGCTGAGGCTGCCCTCTGGGACTTGCATCTGGATTTCATTTACATGGGAGCCAGAGCCGAGGGAGGGGGAGGCTGGGGAGCTTCTTGGTGTTGGTTAGAAGGCAAATGAGGACACCTCACAGGGTCCCGATGTCATTCTGCCATCTGGGAGGTAGTCCCAGCATTGGCAGTAAAGCTGAATGTCATCACAACACTTTTCCTCATCAACCACAAAATGCCCCAGCTGCGATGACAGGGCATTGTTCACTGTAATGCAGAGCAGGATTCGGGTACCTAAGTTTAGATGTATGATGTCATTTTTGAAGCCCGGGGGTACCCTGCTGGTTTTCTGGGGCTTTTCCCAAGGGTTCAGGTCCCCCAGTATGTTCTGTCACATCTTCCAGCTGTGGATGGGTGTCTTGGATATCCTACAGCATCTCAAATGCATCAGACACTTAGGTTTAGCTACTGAACCCCACATCTACTGGAGATCCAGGTTCTGGGCTGTCAGTTCCCTAGCAGAAGGTAAAGAGCCCGCAAAGTGCTGTTCCTTCCCCAGCCTCTTCAGAGGAAGAAGTGGGACCAGCTTCTTCGGGATGACAAGTGGCTTCAGATCCTTCCAAAAAGCACTGCTCAGCTCTTTTCTTGAGTAGGCCACCAGTCATGTAGCTGCTGTTGGATAAATCGTCTCGGGAGGAGACTGCAGAGAGCATACCTCACTGCACGGAACTTGGAGGCTCCAGGTCGACCATGATAAAATGCAGGCACTGAGGATTTTCCTAGCAGGCTAGCAGCAGTATACACTGATTATGATGAATTCCCAATTTTTGTCTGGCTGCAGGGCATGTTGAAAGACATAATCCACATTAGTGGAATGTTTTAAACATGAAAACACATTGCTAAGTGTTTTCTGCTTGGCTTTTTTCATGCGCTAATGTCATTTCCTTGCAGAAGATCACAGTTCTTTGCACATTGTAAGCACTGCTGTAATGCAGAGACGTGACTAGTCTAAGATCCTCTGTGTAATATACGTTACAAAGGAAGGTAGAGCAGTCTGGAAAGTTCCCCTTTATGCTATCTTTCGCGAGGTACAGGGGGACAGACCCCAGTCTAGGCCAGATTCAGAGCACGCAAGCTTGGCTTGATCCAAAAGAAAATGAACCGGAGCACGGGCTGATGCCGATCCTCTGGTAAGAGGTTCTTTCATCACTTCAACAGGCTTTTGGCTGGGATCTTACACTGTCACCCAGCCGACCAGAATGCAGTGGCAATCGTTTATTTATGGAAATACCGCACTATTTACTGAATATTCGCAAACTTGCTCTCAGTGCAAAGGAACTTGCACGACTCGTAAAGGATAAAACAATTTAGACAAACCATACTGGTGAGAAATAGACACTAAACTTACACACTTTTTGTTTCTTTTAAGACAGAAAGCAATTATTATTTTTGTAGACAGGTGATGACGGATGGGTTGTGTTTGTGCAGTTGCTTCTATTCAGAGAGCTGATATCAAACAGGATGGGGAATTCACTCCTCCTAGGTGGAAGAAGTGCTCTGGAATTAAATTTGATATATATTTTCTGTAGGGTTGTCTTACAACATATTATAAAAATTGAGGGAGCTAGCTCCCCGCTGAATGGTTCACAAAGCAGCGAAGAAGGCAATCATTTTGTATTAAATTCTCCAGGGTTATATTTACAGAATTTTAACAGCTCTGTCCTCATCTGTCAGCATAAACACTGGATTTCAAATGCCGCTCTCCACGCAAAGCCCACCTTTTGAATAAGCCCCAAATGGAAAACAGTGAACGTTTTGGCTGTGGTCTCTAGCTTCTTTGCCACATTGCCTTGCCTTCTGACGGCGTGGCGCGAGCGCTGGGGCAGAACCGGTGCAGAAAGCAGGAATCAAACAGGAATCTCGTTGGCATGAGCCTTGAGGCTTGTGCCAAGTGTTGGCCGGCCATGGGTAAGCCCACTAACGAGTGCAATGGCTCTGTGTGCAGGCTGCCTGCGTGCCCGTGATGCTCAGCAATGGATGGGAGCTGCCCTTCTCGGAAGTGATTGATTGGAAGCAGGCTGCCGTCATCGGGGATGAGAGATTGCTATTACAGGTAAGAAAAAGACGGCGGCCTTCAGCAGAGCGGTGGATTATTGCCGCCGCCGTCTAAATGGATGGGGAAGATGAATCCGAAAGGTCAGGGCTGTAAAAGAATTTTTATCATGAAGGGATTGTCTGTGTCACGCCGGCGATGAACTCATTTAATGTGACATCATTCACGGCCTGACCTGAAGGTCATTGCAGCCACGAGGCCACGTGCTTCAACACAGGAGGCTTCTTCATTTTTCCTCTGGTGGGGAGCGCCTGGGTCACTCTCTGAGGCAGGGCCATCCTACACTGGTGCTGCAGTGAGGGAGAAGACATCTGAAGGGCATTTCTGCTCCTGTCCTTCAGAAAAAGTTGGATCCTAGGGCTCCACCAGTGCCATGTATCTGGCTGGCTGGAAGGGGCTGGCAGGGCTCCTCACTCAGGCAAAGGGGTCTTGTCTCAGTCCCTGTAAATGCCTAACAGTTTTGTGGAAGCAGAACCTTTTTGAAGAACATCTTTTTGAAAGATGTCTTCAGAAAGACACCTTTGCCTTTCTGAGGCAGTGTTCACATCACTTTATTGTTAATCTCCCTGAGATCATGCAACAAAAGTGAGCCAAGGAATTAGAAATGCCCTGCTTACCTTCAGCATCTGCTTTTGTCTTTAAATTCACTAGATATTTTCTTCTGTTTTCCTGGCAGATGTAATTTTTTTTTAAGGTAAGGAGAGAAATGGATATTAGGAAAAGTTCTTGAAAAATTGGTTTCCCCAAGGCAGCATTTGATGAAATGCCATCGTCCAGCGTGAAGCTGAGATCCACGAGATCGGGAATAGCCACCAAATTGCTGTGCGTCTCCTATCTAGTCATTTCTGTGTCAGCACCACTGACGTGCTTCCTGACCTCTTGAAAATGTTTTTTCTAGGGAGACAGCAACGTTTCAAACTTTTTTTTTTCTTCACAAAAAATGGATTTTACAGCTTTCAGGTAGCTGTTTGCACTGCACGCTGTGCACTAGTGCACGCTGGCTTATCCCACAGTAAGAGAGGTTTTGTTATTACTAAATTTAGCTCATTTCCAAAGAGGCAAGCTATCACCATCCCTGGAGAGAAGCATTCAAAGGCACGAGTGTGTTAGCACCCAGAAATTGAAGTACCTTTAAAAATCTCCTTAGATGCCTTCTTACTTGTCCGAAGACGTAAATATTCGTAAAGAGCTGGCCTAGCAAGCCTTGCGAAGTGGCTGCCTGTTGCCATTAACGAGACACAATCTGCAATTTTAAAAAAAAAAATAAATAAATAAATTTGATTTTTTGCTTTCATGGACAGCATGTTTTTCCGAGCAAAATTATTTCTGCCTTTAAATCATAATAATTTGCTGATCTTCACGCTTTCCGGTAACATGCCATTCGTTCTCCTCACAGCTGCTTCCATATTGAACAGCTACTGCACCATTATTAACAGTGTTTTTAAAGAGCTGGCAGAGGGCCTGAATGTCTGCTCTGGGAAATGTTTTTGTGATGTTACAGTTTTTCATTTCCTGTTTTAGAGCAGCTCGGATGTTTTTATTTGCATATTCTCCTCATCACAGCGCTAGGAGAGCTTAATCCAGCCTTTCTGCATTTATTTTTGTGGGGTGGTTTTTCTCCTTCCCCCACTTCTTACTGAAATGACCTTTTATTAAGACGTCATCCAGTTCTAGTAATTCCAGTGTAATCCTGCCAGATTAGTATTAATACATCATTTTCCCCACCTGTCTCTCTGGACAAGTAGATTAATAACTAATAAGCAAATGCAGTTAAAGTGGGAGCCCTGATTTTCCTTTCCAGCTGTTGCAACAGAGCAGGCACCAAGGCTTTTTTTAAACGTTGGCACCGTGTTTGCAGGCACTCGCAGGCACAGGCTGGTCTGGAAAACCTGAGCTTCGTGCAGTAACCTTCACTGGCAGGGCGGCCTTCGCGCTCAGGGGCCCTCGCAGCAAAAGAGTATTGATTTCACTTCTTGCTCTCACATGTAGCACACATGCAAGGTTGCACAAAATGCAATAAAATGATTAACTTTATAGAAAAAATGCCATGTTGCCACCGGGAAGGGACTTTGATTGTCTGTTTACTCTTGGTAATGAGCGTGGATGTGGTCTGTGGACAGCCGGTACAGATAGCATTCATTATCCCCCTATTCATTGGAACTTACTGGAAAGGTAATGAAAAGAAAGAATATTCACCCCTCAAAATAAAATTTGATACAGTTAAATATCATTCTGCCACAGTGATGGAACTGATTAGAAAAACATGCACTAAAGCCTGGCTTTGGCTTCCGTCTTTCATACTTGCTTGAAAGGAATGTTTTAGCTAAAGACATACAGGGACCATAGCAGAGGAACAAAACGCACCGCCCTTGACATTGTGACCATTTCCTTCTGCAGCCCTTACTCTCTGAAGCTCAAATTCTGTTTCATACTTAGCAGGTCTTAGAGAGTGAATGCAAACAATGCAGTTACAAATTTACTGATTCTCCTGGAAATTCATTACTTATAAATTCTTAGAATCTCAAGTTTTCCCCAGGAAAATGTTTCATGTGAAGTCGTTTGATTCAGGAGTTCCTGTAACCAAATACTGATCCTTGCCACTTCTCAGAATATTTTAGGAATAAGCAAATGTGTTTTGATCAGGAAAGGGCGGATGTGTTGGGCTGCAAGTAACCTTCAGAGCAAGCTGGGATGTGCAAAAAAGCAACACACGACAAAAGTACACGCTTTTACAGCTCCTGATTGAAGTAAAAGCTCTGTGAAAAATGACTGTCAGAGAACGAGGTGGCCTAATTTGAAATCACAAGAAAGTAGGTGCAAAAGCACAGCTCCTCGTTCCTAGAAGAAAGGAGTACAGATAAGCAAAATATCTTAGAGGCCTTCCTGGTTCTGTGAGTAGCCCTTGTAATTGAAGCAAATTGCAGTTAAACTCCCTTGATGATGTCAATTTGCATTGTCAAAGTAGCATGCTGGAGGCCTTGGTCGAGGTCCCAAGAAGTTAACCAGTGGCACACACGCCCATTAGCTTCCCTCCAGCATGGGAGGGGGACGTGGGGACGGGGAGAGAAGCAGAAGGGAAGCCCTCCCCTTCCGATCCAGTCATCTTTACATTTTGTGATCACAAAGCATTGCAGCAGGGCGATTTGGTTTTCCTTTGCAAGGCAACTTACACCGGAATTAGAGTGTTGCTTTAACGGAGAAGGGAGAAAAAGCAGCAGTGTTTTCCCTCATGAATAACAGGTGTTGTGGGAGACATTATTCCTTCCACCCACGATAATTAGTAAAATGCAGTTTGATCCGCAGGCTCCCCAAAAGCGAAGTCTTGCTTCAGATGTTGCTATGTTCTCCTCAGGGCACTTAGCGTTGCCATGCTGCGGTAAATGCAATCGCAGATCCCTTTAATGTGCTCTGAGAGTGGGGATTATTGCCGGGCCCAGAAGTCCTGCAGGTACCAGTTTGTGAAACTGCCGGTCCATGAAACGCGTTGTGCGGGAGGGAGCTGCGCAGAGCTCCTCGCTGTGCCACGCCGCAGCGCTGGGGAGGGGGGAGAGAAGCAACCCAAAACCGAGGGAAAGCGAATAAAAATAAATAAATCGTGTATTCCACAGCGGGCCAGTAGCAAAGGTCGTGAGGGGCTGTGTCTCATCTGTGTCTCCGTCGGGGTTTGGGCTGTTGACACACACGTCTTGTTGGATGGGAGCGCTGAAGCTGTGCAGCGTGCTAATAGAGGAGGGAACTTGTCGGCAGCATATTAATTTGATGAGATTGTGTTGTTTTGGGAAGCTTCTGACTATATTACATCTTGTATTACAGATTCCTTCTACAATCAGGTCTATCCATCAGGATAAAATCCTAGCACTTAGACAGCAGACACAGTTCTTGTGGGAGGCTTATTTTTCTTCAGTTGAGAAGATTGTATTGACTACACTAGAGGTGAGTAAAAACTGTCTGGGACCACGCAGAGCAGCCAGCTTTCCATAGCCGTCGGGCTGCTGCTGTGCTCAGCTGGCACCAGACCTTGGTTTTCATGACATGCAATTGGTCACTTGGAAAAAAAAAACACCTCGGCGTCTTGATAAGTTTTCTTCCGTAAGGAAATACTTCTTTCATTATTGGTGTCCGCATTAGAAAACTGACACGGTGAAGAATGGGAGCTATCGGACACGTGGAAAAGTTGTCATGTGTGATCTTGCCTTCGCAAGGCTTTATGGCCAATGAATCACTCTCCTTGTCAGTGGTAGTGAATATGTTTCTTTAAGAAACCTTTCTGGAATTCATTTTGGGGAAAAAATACTGCTCTGGAGCTCCTTGACCATTTGATGCCTTGTGATGGGCTGAGAGAAAATGGGGGCTTGTTGGTTCCTGTGTCTTACCGTCACACCCAGGGTAAGGGAAAGGCCTGATAATCCCCACAAAACAGTAAGAAATAATCATAATTAGACTGCTATTAAACAGGGAGACAGGAGATCTTGAATGTGGAGAGAATCCTTTCTGAATTCGAGAGACAGGAGAGATAAAAGGCTCTTCAGAAGCAGAGCCCAGGATACAGTTTCAAAAGCAGGTTTCTCTTCTAATTGTTCTGCCGTTTTGCATTGAAATTTTTGACACACTTTTACCACTGGAAGTGGCTGGCTTTGGAGGTGCAAATGCATTTGTCTTATGCTAATTCTCCTGCAGCTGCGTCTGTCTGTGTGCGTGGTTGTAAAGTTCCACGTTTCCTGCTCTGCATTCACCTGCAGACTGCAAGCAAGTGCTGCTGCCCGTATCTTGGCCTGCAGTGGGCTTGTTCGTGGCTGACCCACCTCCAGCTGCAAGACATTCCCTTAGGTTTTCCTGCACCAGTGAAGAAAACCAGCCAGAGGATATTTTTGGAGCCCCTGGCACACTACTATTAGGGCACTTCTACCCCTAATGAGCTTGGCTTTGTCCGTGCTGCCTGTGGGGAATAGCTCAGCGTCCTCAGGCTCCCCAGGAGCACGGAGGAGGTAGTGGTACTGTCACAGCCCGTGCCAGGATCAGGCTAACAGAGCTGGCAGACCACGTGGCAGTGCTTTCAGCCTAATTCACCCCTACAGAATTACCCCTAGAGACAATCAGGGTGCTTCATCTCTTGTCTGCCCCTTCCCTGCACGCACCCTGGTATCGCTAAGGGTTGCTATAAGGGGAAGGCTGCGCAGCTCTCCTCGCTGCCCCTCTCCTACCTGTGCTGGGCTGGTCCCGAGGGGACTTCACCTGCAGCCCCACAGCCTTGGTGTCCATCTCATCAAGCTCTGGCGCTCACAGATGTGTTTTTAGGGCTGCCTGGACCTCGTGGGACATTGGCCAATGTCGTTGTAGGTGCCCAGGGGAGAGTAAAACCTGTAATAAAGCTCAGGCAGCTGGGCATCCAGCAGGCTGCCGCTTCTGCTCAGAGGGGAAAAAAGAGAAAACAAAAATCTTCCTGCAAGGTTTAATTTAATGGAACCGAGTAATGTATGCCTGGCGTTGAAGTTATGTTCTGGGTTTTTCCATTTGTTTGCAAGGGTGGTTTTGGTTTGAGGGGTTTATGTTTGTTTGTTTTTAATTCAGGACTCTCGGAATTTGTAAAGACAGCTAAGAGGGATCCTGTTCGTATGAGCAGATACTCATTTCACATTGCAGCTTGCCAGAGTGAAGTCCAGAGTTAACTTTCTGTAGGAAAGGAATAAAGCAGCTGAGAGTGATTTTAGGTGTCAGAAATCTGCACGCAGTATATCCTCTTTTTAAAATTTGATGCCTGTAAGTAAATTCCTAGCAGGATTATTTATTTTTTTTCTGGTGGATGTTATCCATCTTCTGTTGTAACGCTGTGGTGTCACGGTGCTCTGATGATACTAGATATCATCTGAATAATCACCTCCCTGCTGCCTGCAGTGCTGTACCATGTCCAAGTATGAGGACATCAGTGCAGCAAAAGGCTTCACCAGCTCAGGTGTCTACAAGGGCATCATGTCTCTCCTCTGCCTGGTATCCTGGACACCTGTGAAAACATTTGATCACGTCTTCAGGTCCCTGACAGCATTTGGAGACCGGAGCCAAACAGCTCCTAGCCCGGTGTGGGAGCTTTGAAGCATTTGCCCAGCTGCCCGTATTGCAGCTGTAGGTGCCGTGGGCATGGTGTGGGTCAGGAAATGGTGTTCGTGTGGGTCTGCTGCAGTGTATCTGCAATTTTTCAGCTTGTTCTTCTGTGAAAACAAGCCCAAAACACACCTCAACCCCTGGGCTGTACGCTCAGTCTTCTGTTCTGGAGGAAGGGAGGAGGACAGCACAAAAGGCACACAATAAATGTGCAGTGTTTGGCTGGGGCATGTTGAGAAGAGACAACGTTCAAGGCAATATATGAACTTTTGGAAGTGTGAAGATGAGGGAGGCAAAAATATCAGACTGTTAATGAATTCCAAAAGGAAAAGGGAGATCTTGGCAGAGTTCATCACCCCTTCTTCCTCTTCCTAAACTCCTCCTGTCAGGCCTCACCATTGGAGACCCTGTGTAGCTGCTGCCTGTCCCTGCAGTATGTGCCATGCTGCGTACCCTGAATTTTAATCGATTGGTCCCCCATGTTACCCTTTTTTATACACTTCTGTGTCTTCTCTACTGTTTATCATGACAGACAGAGAGATTTCTTACATAGACCAGGAGTGTGATAAATTAATCTGTGAGCTGTGATATAGGACAGGCCAGCTCCCCAGCCTGTTGAGGGAGTTTATGTGAGATTTGTGTGCCTGCCATGCACCGAGGGCCGCGTACCCTGCGTGGCATCAGGGGTCTGCTTCGTGTTAGGGCTGCTCCGGGCGCGCTGCAGCAGCGCTGAGTGCGAGCCATGTGTTTCCCCTGCAGCCTTGTTGGCTACCAGCGCAATGGAAAACTCCGCCGCCTGTGAAAACCTCCTGACCGTGTAAATTCACAGACTTCCCCTTATCTGATCATGCCCCAGTTCTGAGAAAACAGGAGGAAGGAGCCGTAGTATTTGGGCTTTGTGGTAAACGCTCGAAATTATGTAGTTGCCATGTCCTGTCTTTGTTTAGTGGCTTAACTTGCAGCTGGGGAACCAGTAGTCATCTCTCCCTGCTGCCATGCAGGAGGTCTGGCAGCTGGTACCCCTAACTTCCCAAACAAATATTCAGATGCACGCTTTTTAGTGGAAATATGGTCCTTAAGTCCTTTATACCCACATAAAAATAAGTTAAAAACTTAGGCATGTGAGTGAATTACTGCATGTTAGCAATGCTAATTGGCTGCAGGCAAAATTAAGACCAGCGTGCAGGCACCTAACATTGACCTCAAGTTAACCGTGCTGACGTGGCCACCAGCAGTGGATCGTCTAGCACAAGGTAACTTGTGATTCGGTGGCTATGTTTTGTCACAGCCATCAGAAATTCCAGGAAAAGTCCTGGTCATGCTCCATACTGACCGAATGTCCTTGAACTCAGCTGCTGACAGAGGTTTCTAGCTTGCTTAGACTCTAGCAGCTGCTTTTATTTGGCTTTTGTTATGTTGGGTCTTTTTGATTGCTCGTTTATTTATTTTTTTTCTATGCTGTGGGTATAGAACTTCTTTAATTCCATAGATTTTAAGGAATGGAGCATGGGATTGGATTTACTCCAGCTTCAGAGCCATTACTTTCACCCAGATACGTCTGCGCTAAGGCCGGAGATGTTAGGTTAGGAGAACCAAACTGCTCTCAGCATTGGAGCCTTGTACAATGCATAAACCACCAATTGCATCAGATCCCCTTAGGAGATCCCAGAAGATGAGCTGCAGAAGGCAAGGAAATCCTGATTAGCTGAATATTCTTCCTCCACAATCCCAGCCCCTTCCAGTGTCCCATCCCCAGTCCTGCCAACCTCTGCTGCTTCAGAGGAAAACAAATAGAGCATGTGGCCCAAAAGCAGATTTCACTTAGAAAATTGTGTCTTGCTTGGATGCTGAGCTTGTCTAGTTTTAGCTTCCCACTGCTGAATCTTATTATGACTTTGCAGCAAGTTGGTGTAAGAACCAGACTGTTCTTACGTGCCCCCAACTGGTCTGAAGTAATTATTAGTGTTACAAACACACACTCATTATATGGCCCTGTGTCTTTTGTAGCTTGTGGTATTCCAGATGACAAAGTAGACGACCTAGCAATCTGGTCTGCCCTTACAAATCTAGGAGTCTACGTTTGTGGCCCTCAGCAAAGACAGAAAATAGTTACCAAAAGATCTTCTTCTATTTCAGCCAGCAAGGAGCTGTTATGGAACCGAGACGTAGAGTCAGTGATGTATCTGAATACTAATACCCCTTCGTAATAAGCAAAATGAATAATTAGCGCAGCCTGATTTGCTGAAAGCCTTTGTGGTTTTGAACGCTCTCGTTATCTCAAAATAATACCTAGCTTTGTAATGCCATCCTCGAGTAATTATCTTCTGTGAGCTCTGGATAGTAAAAACTGACAGTGCACTAATCGGGCTTGCTGCTGCCGACGTCCTCTCGCAGACAAAATCCTTGACTTGAAATACGGGATGCAATGAACTGCAAGGTCCCCGCATCCACGGAGCCTAATGAGGGGCTCTGAAGCCTGAGCTGCTGAAGTGGTGTTGAAGTACACAGCTTCTGTGTCATTTTAGGAGAGATTAAGCAGGAACGTCTCATCATTTGTGTGCCTCGGCTTGTTGCAGACTGGGTGAGGAGGACTCCCGTCGGACGGAGTCCCTGAAACACCCACCCGTGGCTCTTGCAGGCTATTTAACAGTCATCGCCTCTCTTGTTTTCCAGATTATTCAGGACAGAATATTTAAGCACATATCACGTAACAGCTTAATATGGAACAAACATCCTGGAGGGTTATTTGTACTGCCACAGTATTCCTCATATCTGGGAGATTTTCCTTACTACTATGCGAATCTCGGTGAGTGAATCCTTCCTACCCTCAGCTGGCACTTGGAATATCGTTGATCTCTGAGCAGCACGTGCCTCGGGACTCGCCATTCATTCCTAGTTAACGATGCTTTCCAGTTAGCCTGTCTCAGTCTTCCCTGCCCACTGCAGACTGGGATGTCTCCGACTCATCGACATGCACTGTGGGCCTTGCAAATGCTGTTTTTAAAAAAATCCCTGTCCCTTCATACTTTTCAGTTGCCAGTAATTAATGCCTGAGTTACTGACCCATTTATGGCCCAAGGGGACGCAAGAGGGATAGTTTTTTGCTTTCTTTGTTTATTTGTGCTTGGCAAATTGGAAAAGTGGTAATTTACCCATGGCACTTGTAAATGGAGCCCAGAGTTGGTACGGATTTATTCTCCGTACTCTGTGTCCTCTCATGGATCCTGCTAGAAGGCCTTACGAACGTGTTTTTTTCCCAAAGCAGAGCTTAAGCAATGAATTCTGCAGGGGAATGTGCCTGCAGCCTGAAATTATCCTGCTGATGACACTTGCTTCCACTTTTGGCTCAGCCTGTGCCATCCCACTTGTGTGTATCTGTACTGCCCACCTGCTAAAAATTCGCTGTTACCATGCTTTTGGTAATCTCCAAAAGGAGAAGAAGGTTTCTGTGGGAATTTTGATGAAAAATGACTCTGACCCCACACAGATGAATGTAGATAAGACCGAGAGCGGTAATTAAGGGCAGAAGTAGGTTCTGTTATTTCAGGCAGGGAAGGCAGGCACAGCAAGACAAAAATGTCAGAATTGGAAGGGAAGGATGCAAACTGAATTATCAGGTCAGGAAGTAATTGAAGGCGTATGTGGATGGGGATTTATCCAGAAAGAGCAGAAATCTGACAGAGGCTGCGATGGAAGTGTAGAAACTGAACATGCCTCTGGAAATCGTGGATGCATCTAGAAAACGCCACGTATCCACAGCCAGGCAGCAAAACCAGGCAGAGCCAGTGTCAGGAAAGAAATTTGGCTGAACAAACTAAATCGTATCTGTGGGCAAACTGGAAGGAAAAAAGAGATTGCAGGACATTTGTGGAAATAGTGAGAAAAGGCAGTAATTGCATTGGAGTGAGGGTTTTCAGGGGGCATGGGAGTTAAAAGGAAGTGTGATCTCCTCAGAAGTGTCTGGGACTCAGTATCCAAGACTGAAGGAGATGACCTAAGGAAAAAAAAGCCAAGGTTTGCATTAAACACAGATTATCCTTCCACCTCCAAGTCCTTTAACCTGTACTAAACGGGGCAATTTTGTTTTTACTGAGCACATCTCTCTCTGCTGCAGGTCTGAAGCCTCTCCCCACGTTCACTGCCGTTATCCATGCAGTAACTCCCCTGGTTTCCCAGTCTCAACCTGTGCTGAAACTCCTGGTTGCTGTAGCCAAGTCCCAGTACTGTGCAAAGGTAAGGAAGGAGCGCTGTCTGGCTGTCAGTCACATCTGAGACAGAACTGCTGTCCCGGCAGTGAGGAGGCTGTTGACTCCAGCTCTTCTCACTCTAGTTCCAACCCCTGTTTCAGTTCTCGTGTTTCTTTTCTCCGAGATTCCTGGTGTCTGTGACCTGCATGCACAGGAAACAGAAATTCTGAGTATAATGCAAGTGGAATAGAGACAATAATTAAACCCCTTTGTTTCATGAGACAGGTAGAACAAAGACTGCACTTTAAATATCTGAGCCGCGTATGCTGCAAACTGCAAAAGGATGTCTGTGCCTCAAGAGCCCCTACATGATCTTCCTTCCTCCTGCTGTGGCTCCTAGGCTCACAGTGCCGGGATTTTGGCTTGCCTAAAAGAAACCCTGGGGAGTTCCGCAGGAGCACCCTCTTGCAGTGGAGAGTCACAAGTGTTTTAGCCTTCAATGTGAGCCAAAGTAAATCAATGACGTCCGTGTGACCTGGCCTAGACAGAGACTTCCTGAGTTCCTGTCCAGCCTACATTTGTTTAGGAGGATGTATACAGTCAGGATGGGTGAAATTACTGTAGGAAGTGTTATTTTTATGCAGATTTATATCATTCTTCTTGATTTGGAAAGCCCAAATATGAATTCAGCATTGCTGTCTGGAGATCTGAGTCTGTAGGGCTTGGACTGCATTGCCGCAAAGGAGTCTGACCGTGGTCCAACATTCTCTTCCAGATCATTGTCTTATGGAATTGTGATAAACCCCTCCCAGCCAAACACCGCTGGCCTGCCACTTCTGTGCCTGTCATAGTCATTGAAGGAGAGAGCAAGGTAAGTGGAGAGGAGCACCATAAAAGATTGCATGTATTCTCCGGTGGGACCGGAGTTTGTTTTTCGAGCTGCTTCAGTGAAAGCTTTGTAGTTCGCAGCTGTGTGACAGCTCCTCTCTGTTCCTCGTTCCTCTGCACCAGCTCGGGCACCGATTCGTGTTTCATGCACGAGGCCCGTGCTCCCAGAAGCCATCAGCATGGCAATTAATGCCGTGAGATTCACAGGTGGGGCCCTGCTTTGAAATGTGGTCCCAAGAGTAGGCAGCGCTGCCCCCTTCTTTGGAGATCTCTGTCTCTGCGGGGACATGAAAGCAGCGATGCAGCTGATTACTGAGTCTGAGCAGTCAGAGGCAAGGCTTGGGGATCAGCTGCACACCCAAACACAGAGGAAGAGATGAGAGTGGGTAGTGCCAAGCCACTGTTCAGAAAGTGCCTTCTCCATGGCCTTGTAGCAGACTGCTGCCGGCGATGGGACCCCACCATAAAACAAAGGAAGGGACGAGGGGTGCTTGCGTGGGAACAAAACCACTGCATTGTCTCCTGCTGTGCAGCACACTTGTTTGTTCGTGCTTCCCCAAAGCTGAAACAGGCAGCACCCAGATGAGAGGAGAGGCTTCTGTTAAATCCGTGCTGCAGCAGACGATTCCTTTCCAAAGTCAGGCCTGAGAGAAGCGGGGCTTCTTGTTCCAAGGCTGTGACTGAGACACATCTGGGCTGGCCCCTCTGCGATCTGTATCGTTTGGCTCTCGAGCTCTGCCTTTGCAAAGAGAACTTTCAGCTGCTTGGGCTGCGCTGTCCTGTTTTGAATTTATGGTCCTGTCCTTGGTCTTGTACCCCAATCACCTGAACAAAGGGAAAGCGAGGGCCCTGCAAAGTTGGCAGCTGACGGCTTATGCCTTAGCTGGCCATGTAAACAGCATCAGGAGAGTCGCTGCGGGGCCAAGAAAGGCTGTCTGTAGTGATTTCTGAGTCTTTTGAACATTGCAGAGCTGTTTTTTTTTTTTCTTTTTCTTTTTGGAGAGCTTGCAGAGGTGAGATAGAGGAGAAAACCTCTGACCAGTTCTACAGGATTTGTAGAAATTGGCCCAGGCACTGTTTAGATTACAAATGAGTCTCCTGAGTACACAAAGGTGTGTTTGTAGTGGACAGTCTCATCTCTCTAATATCCCAATATATGCCAAATGGCTTCTTGCGCAGAAAAGCTGCTTGTTTGGACAAAGCTAGCAGAGCCAGAGCAGTCCAACTCAAAGGCTGTGCAGAGGGACTGCTTTTCAGCTCCAGACCTAACTGAAGCATCCTGGCAGGCGCAGTCGCTCTTGCCAGGGGCTCTCAGAGGTCTGCCTGAATCTAACCTCCCGCTCCTACCCATGAAATCATGGGAGCTTTAACCATGAAAAAAAAAATACGTGGGTAATCCTGACTGTTTCACTGTTTGACTGTCTTCCACCGTCTGTAATAGAGCTAGGGTGAGGAGCTTGGTCTCCTGACTGCTGCTTGCTCGGCTTTGCCTCTGCATAAGCAAATCAAAGCTGTCAACACCTGCCAGATCGCCTCTCCCTCACAGCCACGGCGATCCTGGGCAGAGGCCCATCGCGGCGATGAAGGGATGCTCTCCAGACAGACGCTGTGAACCTCCTGAGTACGGGGACAGAACTTTCTCTCAGTCATGGCATAGGTTTAGGGACTTGCCTCCGAACAGGTTGCAAGGGATGCAGAAATGATCATGTCCATTACGAGCTACATGAAAAACTTCTCCGTGTCCTTGTTTCCAGCCAGTGATCTCCCCTAGCCGGGCCTGATTTTTGTAGTGATTTCTTCAGGTAATGAGTTTGAAAAGAAGTCTATTAACTAGACAGGCTATTTTTCCTAGCAATTGAGGGAAGCAAATAGTGTCATGTCCTTATTACCACTCATCAGTTCTCCAAAGGTGCTAATTAGTCTGGTAAAGAAACCATATGGATTCTCATCTCATCTCAGCAACATCTCTTGCTGTTACCTTTTTGATCCCACTTTTCTATTTCTTATTGCCTCGAGAGCTGTCCTGCTGTAGTTTTTAAAAGCCTGTTCTGCATTTAGATTTTATATGTATATATTGTGTCACTCAAGAATGCGATTTTTAAAAATGCCACAGTATCGATGTAATTCTTCATGCAGAGGAATCTCAACTGGTACTCGTGTTCCTTAGCGTGTTCTCCTTTTCTGATGGAAACATCGCACCATTTGGCAGCAGCTCCCTGCTGAAGCAACAGCAGCGCACAGAGATGGAGCTGTACCACTTGACAGGGGTACAGTCCTGGCAGTGTAACATCCTTCACACTCAGCCTGGGCTCCTCAGTTCCCAGCTGTGTCGCCTTAGGAGTGCTGCAAAGTCCCTGTCAGGGCTTCGTTGTCTGTGATCCTCACACCCACGGGAGGGCAGAGGGAGCACGTCCTGCCTCAGGAAGCTGTAGGTCCATCTAATTCTCAGCGTGGACCATTACAGTTTGTCACATAAGGAAGGCAGCCTGCCCCAAAGGGAGAGATCTGTTCAGAAATTACTCCTCAAGCAGAAGGTGTAAGCTGACTGCTGGAGTGATGGAAGTGACAGTCTTTCCCTCCTGAACTAAGCAGTCCTTTCTATCAGACAGACGTGCGATGTGCCCAAGACAAAAGGAAATCAGAGTGAGGAATGAGATAGAGTATTTCCATGGAAATGACTCCTTTAAATGATTTTTTTTTCCTCCCTTGGATGCCCACAGGTTATGAGCAGTCGCTTCCTACCCTACGACAACATAGGGACAGATGCAGTGCTAAGCCTGGATGAGGACACCGTGCTTTCAACCACTGAGGTAAGGGTCGCTGTCATCCTGAGCAGCTCCCGGGCTCATCTTGAGCACAGCGGACAGGCCTTGCCAGTGACCAAGTGCTGTAAGGTTTCCCGCAATACTCTTCAGATTTTATGTGTCATGCTTGTTTCAGAAACCCTGCCACTGCCTACCATCAGAGGAGCTTTTCACCCCGGTTAATTGGCTCATCATTAGCATATGGTTCTTCCGTTCTTTATTATTTTAGTAACATAGCTGCAGGCGGGTGTAGGCAGCCAAGAGCAGTCAGCTTCAGTGCTCTGTTCTCACTTTCCTGATGAGGGTAGCGTTCCTTCCCCCTGTATTACCAGTAGGGTGTAGGTGGGGAAAGTAGGGGTGTCAGCAGCAGGGAACTGCTGTCGCTCCAAAACAGTGTCACCACCCTAATGCAGGATTTCACTGAGGAATGCTCTCACTGACTGTTCTGTCACCCCAGAAAGTTGGGAGATCTTTGCTAGTTCAGTTGTTGGAGTGTTTGTGCCAAGAGCAAGATAGCGCTAAGAAAGAAAAATACTGTAGAAAACCAATTTTTACAACTGGGATGAGTATTGATTTCTGGAGCCTCTTCCTGAGAACCACGGGAGCAGCCGATGACAGTTTATATAGAGTGCAATATTTGGGAAATGCATTATTAATGATGGCCAGGGAATAGCCTGAAAAGCTCGATTTTCTTTTGTTTTCCCCTTTTTTTCCTCCATGGCCGTGGCCATTCCTTCCTCTCCACTTCACCTTTATGAAACTGCTTTCTTTGTTGGTGGTGTGGACTTTCCACTGATGCAGTTACTGCTTGTGTGTTAGTGAGGAAATGCCTACCGCCAGCCACCAGTAACTGCTCTATGTACCCTAAGATGGCACTGAAATTGTTCTAAATGGATCAGATTGCAGCTGCTATTCTCCCAATTATGGTTTTGTTGGGCTGTGGTTAAACTGCTCCAGAAGGAGCCTTGGCAGCCCCCTCCTGCTTCACAAATGGCGTTGAACCTGTGTGATACCAAGGTTACATCTTGATAGTTCCTGCTAGATGAGGAAGAATACAGCTGCTGGCAAATCGTGTGCAAAGCCCTGCACAGCCCAAAAACCCCAAACCAAAAAAAAAAAAGGCATTTGTCCTAGGGCTGGAGTTCCTAATAGGTTGTTGCCCAGGATGAAGGGTCCTGTCTCAGCTGCCCTGAGGGCTGCGGTAAGACCTGTCAGTCTGCACTGAGGTGGAAGTGACAGCAATCCAACCTGCGGATTCCGTGAGGATTTGGGGCTTTGTTTTGTTTTGCCTGGTATTTGTCATCATCCAAGCTTTGTAGTCACTCAGGCTTTTGGAATGTATGTGAAATAAATAGTGTTTGGGTTCGACTTGGCCTTGTTTTACACTCAACATCCTGAAATGCAAACATTTGTTATCGTATCAAACAACGTATGCATTTCTTTGGGAATTCTTCCCTCGTGTGAGCAGCTTGCTGCCCATACTGCATGTGTGCGTCGTGGTTTTGGCTCTGTGAGCCCCACATCCCCGTGCTGCAGAGAGATTCAGCTGGCCATCTCTCTCCTGCCACTTTGCCATGCCTCAGCCAGGATGCTGGGGTCAGCGGCTCTCTTTGGTGGCTCTCCGTAAAGAACTGTGGCCTTTCTACTTCTTCATTTCCTTCACCACGCAGCTTACACAAAGAAACAGCCTGTTTCAAACGCGGACATGAAACGCGTGGTATGAAAAATCCCCTGAAACTGGCTGCTCATGGGTGGTCGTTGTGGCAAAGCTTCAGGGACCAGAAGAGGCAATTTAGCAACGTGGTCAAACACGGGCACGTTCCTGTTGGGAGGAGCAGGCACCAGACACATCTTCTGCTCTGTCCACTTCTCGTGCAGTAAAGATTTCCCATTCACAGCAGCATGGCAGGCAGCCGCTCCTGTGAGAGGACCTGTGTCATGTGCACAGAGGGATGTTTGTGTGGGAAGTAATTAGAAATCAGCATGAGTTAGAAACGATACGGGGATTTAAGAGAGTGGCAGCCAGGCTGGCTTTTCCTGCTGATCAGCTGTGTGGTAATGCTACTAAAAATTACGCAGGATAAAGACTAGTGATTTTTTTTTCTCTGTTAGGGTGATTGCTTTATTGTGTTTCGCCGGTACAAGGACAGATACTTGAATGCACAAGCGAGGACACTGGGTGTTGCCGCTTTATTATTTATTTAAGTTTGAGGTTCTCAAACATCTCGAAAGAAAACAGATGGCAGGCTTTATGGGAAAGGCCTTCACAGGGAAAAAAACCTTTTAGCTTTTTCATGTGGTATTGATTTGGATGAGATCAGAACTATCACAACGGTAACTGGTTTGTGCACATTGTCTTTCTCGTTGGCCTCAGATTCCTTGAAACAACTTGAAAGAAAATAGCTAGTCCCTAACTTTGTGTTCCAGTACATGTGTGACTCTTCTGTTTCATAAAAATGCTTGTAAATGAGAGAAGTCTGACAGTAATCACACAAAATGTGACTATTCTCATAGCAACTCTTCTTTATCTAACCCCTACACCCTTGACTTTGGCTCTGTTCTTGGAAGGTTTTCCAAGCATTTTTGAGCAAGGTTTTAGGTCCCTCTGGTATCAAGAGGGAACTTTGTATGCAATGCAGAAACAAATGTCTCTTTTTCTTGGTTTTGACTGGGACAGTTAGGATTGCCTTTAACTATTAAAAATTTCGGTCTAGCTTAAGCTCCAAGGACTGCCAACCAACTTTACTGTAATAAAAACCTTTCTATATGTATTTTTACCAAACTCATTTCAAACCAAATGCTGATGAGCCTCCTGCAAACTACCTCAATCATCCCTTTCCTTGTATCACCAGTATTTGTTTGGTGGGATCCTGGGGCAGCAATCTCATATCACTCCTATGATAAAAGAAAAATAATACATAAATAAATAGGTGTAAGAAACTCTATTGTCAGCATTTAACATCTTGTGACTCATGTAGTATCATTCATTTCTTTAAAGTGCAAGCTCCTAAAGCTGTTTAGCTCCATGGAATCTATCTTCCCCCTTATTAAGCTATACGTTTAACCTTCTTGGTCACACAGACAGTCTTAAAAGTATCACCTGCATGCAACTTAGTGGCTCAGAACAGATGGAAAATAAAAAAGGAATCCACACTGCTTGCTTGTTTTAACCTCGCTGAGCTACCCCTGTAACTTTAAGGTGCTTGACTCCCAATTTTCCACGCTTTGTGTTGACAGTACTGAAATGGTAGCTAAGTGAAATGCATGAATATGTGCAAAAGGTTCAGTTTCCCACATGACTATGACCACTCTATATTGCATCTAAGTATAAATGCGTGCACCTACACCTATTCTTTCTGTAACTTGAAAAGGTTTGATATGTAAAGGGCAAGCTTGAAAATGTTAATGTAATGCTGTGATGCTCTAGACTCCCTTTAACAGGAACCATTAAAATGTGCATAATTATAGGGCAAAATGTCAAGCAGTCAGTTTAATTTACTGATGAATACATAGAATTAATGTTTTGCAACAGTTCCAAAATTCTGAATTATGAATTAGTGGCAAGGTAATATTTTGTTTTGTTGACATTTGTTGAAACAGTTTTGGTATTCATTTGGCCTATGCCTCTGTCTGCAGGTGGATTTTGCCTTTACAGTTTGGCAGAGTTTTCCAGAGAGGATCGTAGGGTACCCTGCTCGCAGTCACTTCTGGGACAACACTAAGGAGAGGTGGGGCTATACCTCCAAGTGGACTAATGACTATTCCATGGTATTGACAGGAGCTGCTATTTACCACAAGTAAGCATCCAAAGCATCTGCTGTCCTCCTTCTGCATGAAACAAAGTTGGGGGAGAGAGGGATGAAGAACACTCTTCCGGGGAGGGGAAAAATTGAAAGATAATAAATGGATCTACTTTTTATGGGGTAATAATTTAAGTTCTTGGTTTAGCTCTGGGGATCTGGTAATCATTATTGCGCTTGTTGGGTCTCTTTGAAGTCACTTGTATTTTGAGGCAGTCGGACTGCTCTTTTTAACATCAGGAATTACACACTTCAAAGAGTTCCCGAATTCATTAAGCGGCTCGGCTGAATGGCCTGTAGCATAGCAGAAAGGAGGTTACTTCCAGACCAGCTCTGGGTATGTGTTGGCTGACAGCTGCAGTCTGCAAAGTCTTCTGGCTACTCTAAAAATGTAGCACAGTGGACACATCACAGATCAGCATATTGGGGAAAACCCCTGTTGTTAGAACTTCCGCAGACCAAAGGCCTCTCTAGATTTTAGGAGAAAGGCATCATATTCTGCAGTACCTAATCCACATGCCAGCAAAGAAGGCCGTAGGGGATGATACAGGCCCAAAGGAGAATAATTTGAACACTGAGGACAGTAGCAGGCTAATTTAACAGAATTCCTTCTGACTGAACAGTTTTGAAAGAAATAGAGGATAGATGCATCAGTATTGGCTATCCCAATATAGCAATGAGGGTGCTCTCTTTACTCTTTTTATTATCTTAACACCTAGGTCTGCATTATTTCTTTTAACACTTAAATATATATATATATATATTGTTTTGCTATTAGTGCTGTTTACTGTTTTGATGAGATACTGATTAGTTTTCCCTTCTTGTTGGAGGATGAGACAAGAAGAAGGGATCTGGTGTGTCCAGAGTTGAGACAGAATTTCTGTCTCAGCTGAGACAGAGTTCATAGTCCCTGAAAGCCCAGTGACCTGTCTTAATAACCCTGCTGTTGCTTTCCAGATATTATCACTACCTGTACACTCATTACCTGCCTGCCAGCCTAAAGAATATGGTGGACCAACTGGCCAATTGTGAGGACATTCTAATGAATTTTTTGGTGTCAGCTGTGACAAAATTGCCTCCAATCAAAGTAACACAGAAAAAACAGTATAAGGAGACCATGATGGGACAGGTATGTATCCACAGCATATTTTAGCTGTTGGGATGTATTGACAATATAACATTTTGAATTTCAAATCAGGCTTACAGAATGAATAACATTCTGTCTTTTTTTTTGCAGTTTTTAGCATGGCAGAGCTATAAGTAGACTATAGATTTGCTTATTATAATGATGGGAAGTCCAGAGGGAGAAATGGCAAACATCTACTATAGATGACAACTTCTCTTCAGAATTTCTCACACTACGTTATTCATAGTGATCTCACAGTCACGGAACTGATGATGCTGGTGACTGAATTTTAGTTAAACTCCAGTTTTCTAATTAAAGATTCTAGACCTGACTACATGCAATGCTAGAAGCAGAATTAAATTCTCAAAAGGTTTTATGTTTTTAATTATTAATAATGAATATATAATGTACCAGGCCATCCCTATGTAAGTGTAGTCAAGTATATACTGTGATTCAAACACTGACATTGGACTGTCACAACAGAGGCAAATCATGATTTTTAAAGTGGTTTTTTTTTTTTTTTTTTTTTCCCCACAAGAAACATTTTGTCCCATGGTGACACCATCACTCACTAGCAGCCATGAAACGTGTGCTTTGGGGCCTCTTCCAGCTCCTGGATAAGTATTCTAGTATGGCAGAAATAGGTGTACCTTCTAGTAACAGGGATATGTGTTAACTTGGGGGCACATCTGCTCCTCCCTTGTGTGAGCAAGTGATGAGAGTAATAAAAAGGCCTATAAGACATTCAAGTCCTAAACAATCTTCTATCTGTGCTGCCACAGTGTCTGTGATCAGTACTACCAGGATTACTAGGGTAAGGAGGAGAGAGGAGAAAGAAGAATCCCTCTATTTTCCTCTCACATTTTCCTCTATTAGCATTACCTAGATCTTTGAGTGGGGAATGGGCATACCAATTTGTAGATTCCTTTATCTGTATGCCATTGCATTTTCATCTCATGTATAGGTAGTATTCAGCAGTTCAGACTCATCTGGGTACCTGGGAGACTTTACATGAGCAATATGGTGTCATCCAGAAAGTGCCTGTTGCTTCCAGTTTGAGCTTCACCTCTCCACAGGGATGTGCTTTGGCTGTTTGGCAAAGTCTGAACATTCATTTTGCTTTTTTTAGTGCGGGTGGCTCGAGTCAGCCATGAACTATAACTCTCTAAAAGACAAGTTGTTCCTGCAGCTTTGGGAAATGTAATGGACTATGTTCATAATTCCTTGAAAGACAAATAAAAAATTAACATAACCTCCGTGTTGTGACAGAGATTAATAGCCATATGGAAATTCACTGCTAATGGACAGAATGTCTGCTATAATCCTCTAGCAACAAGCTTTTGCTTGCTCTTTAGTGCCTCTGTATAGTCAAGAGTCTGTAATCAATGCACATTATAAGCTACCACTTGAGCTAAACTGGACAGGCCTTGGATAAAGATCAAATCTTATACAACCATCATTTGGCAGTTCCTTGATTTTATCAGTTTCCTCACATTTTAATTAGCACACTTTGAGCTTACGAGCTTGTATTTGTTTTTAAAGTGAAGTGGAAACATAAGTGCCATAGAGATGCATGCGAAGTGGCATAAAACAAAACTTAGCAGTTTCACAGCATTCATAGTTTCTCGTAAGTAATAGTTCTGTTGTGTTCATACAGATAGTCCAGGCACAGAGAGAGAGCAATAACTGCTTTAAAGCTCTTAGGGCTTCTTTTCTCAGAGATGTTGATTTTCAATGGACTTTTATAGGAATTACAGCTGCCCTCAACTTTGGAAAATTAGTCCACAGGATTTCATATATATACAACTTGTGTTGACTTTTACCGACCTCAGTTAGAAGCCAGTTGAAATTTGTATAAATTTCTGCAAGTCTGGACTGCAAAAAATGTGGTTTTGACCTGAAAAAAACTAATTTCAGTGTATTTTTCTCCTGTGGCTGAGTGCCATGGGCAGCAGCTTGACTGTAGGATGTGCACATCCAGCGGAAAATAGCAGCCATCTTTCCTTTCCTATTGGTTTTTAATGACTTGTTCTCTCTCCTAAATAGCTTGAGGGTTTCAAAATAAAGAGAGAGAGAGAGAGATGGCGTGAGGTAGCATGCTGGCAGGCTCTGGGAGGCCTGCCTAGGGGCGTCATGCTCTGGGTGAGGCCAGCCCGCAGTTGGACTCAGGTCGCCGTGCTGTGCTGCTCTCAGTGGTATTTTGAGGGCTGGCGTGTCCAGCCTGCCATCTTCAGCTACCACCACAGATTGGGTGTCCTTCCCTTGTCTTCAAACCCCTCACAGAGCAGACTTCATCCCCTGTGGCTGCCGCCTAGCCGGGCGCTATCAAGCCCTGGTGACACCCCCCAGCATGGCGTCAGCCTGGCCGTGGCGCCCGCCATTTTGCTTCCTCACAGCCACCGCCTAACTTCTTGCTCTGCTCTCCACACAGACGTCCCGGGCCTCGCGCTGGGCTGACCCTGACCACTTCGCCCAGCGGCAGAGCTGCATGAACACTTTCGCCAGCTGGTTTGGCTATATGCCGCTGATCCACTCTCAGATGAGGCTCGACCCTGTCCTCTTTAAAGACCAGGTCTCCATCCTGAGAAAGAAGTACCGAGACATTGAACGACTCTGAGGAGCGCTGCCGAGGGGGCCGAGCCAGCCCCAGCCCCGCCTGGAGCCAGACTGTGCCACGGCACGGCCGTACCCAAAAAACGGCGAGCGGCGCCCGGGGGCGCGCGGCTCCGGACTGCTTCACCCGCCTGGCAGGCTTCTGTTGCTCACGACTAGGTTGTGTACAGTTTCATTATGGAACATTAAATAATTATTTTTGAAATGATTGCTATGCAGGTTTAAACTTTTTTAATGATCAAAAAAAAAACTATTAAAAACAGAGTTCTTTCTTTAATCAAAATTGTGTTGGTTGTGAATATTTCAAAGCTGCCATTTCTTTCTTTCATGCGTTTGATTGTCATTGCAATTTTCATTCATTTTCCCCTGCAAAGTTAAATGCTTGAATCTCACAGGGAGGAAATGCAGCAGTTTCAGAAACGAACTGAGCACAATCAGGACAGAAATGAAGTATTATGTTTCTCCTTTACTGCTGACTTTTTAATATTTTGTTTCTCCGTTTTCCGAAAACTGGAGAGAGAGCCCCCAGTGAGTGATGCGCGAGCGTAGATCCTGCTGGCGGGGGGCCCGTGTTGGAGCACACCCGGACCTGCTCTGAGCGGGGAGAGGAACAGCCCTGCTGAGGAGCAGACTGCCGGCGCTTGCTGCTTCTGGCAGCAGAGCCTCATTCCTCATGGCCCTGCCAGTGGGTGACCACGGCACGGCCGGTGTGGGGCACACGCAGCCCGCCTGAGCCACTGCTGCTGCCTGGCCACAGCAGCCGAGCCTCTAGAAATAGCTTTGTGTTGAGGGCAAGAGGGATGTTGGCAAAAAAAGGAAGCATGTTAGTGCTTGCAACACAGGAATTTGGCCTGTAATGAAGTGTTTTAAACGAAATCGAATGCCGGGCTTTTCTTATTTTATATTTTTGGTGCAAATAAGTGGAGAAATTCCCTCCTGGAGTTCTGACGCCTGAAGTAAAGTGCATTGTCAGATTATCGGTGCTGGCAGCAGTGGGTTCTCCCAGACTTGCTTGAGGCACGGTAACTTGGGCAAGAGCCTGCCCCAAAAATACCAGCGTTGCTCACACTCCAAAATGGTTTTATCATTTCAGATGGACGTATTTTTTAAGTGAACGTATTCCAGTTGTTTACTTCTTTGTACTGCTTTGCTTATTTATGTGCTTCTTTAAATTGAAGAATGAAAACGGAAGTGGTGATCTGGGTCAGGAAGGTGCTGTTATGGTTTGCTAAGACAATAAGCACTTTAAAAACATTTCAAAATCTCATATTTTTATGAGGTGCGTTGGGGCGTCCTGTAACAATAGGCACCCTGAGAGCTCTGCTGGAGTCGCAGCAAGAGGGCGTAGCATCATGCTCACACTACAGACCAGTAAGCCTTTCTATACCTCATTCCTTTGCATCCAGGCTGTCCCAGGGGTGAAGAGTAGCTGCAGAAATAGGAAGGATGGACCAGAATTATGTTTCATTCAGGCTCAAGCACTGGCTTCCTACGCGGCTTTAAGCAACTCCCATAACCAAGGCATGCCTCAGATCCTTGTTTGTAAAAGTAATAGTTATTGGTATTAGAGGGAATGCCATAAAGCCTAAACATTTTTTCTTGTGATGGAAAGATCAAGATCCCTAGCCTGAAAGTTGCTTTAAAACTGCAAAGTACATATTACTAAATGTTTGTATGCAATTTGGCATGTAAAGACTTGCAAAGAGAGATTCGCTTTGCATATGTATTGCAGTATTTGAACAGAGCACAGCGAGTTAGGGCAGGAACATCAGGTTCCTGACATTTTGTGTTAAATCTGAACCAAATCTTTAAAGGAATCTGCCAAAACACGTGTGAGACTGCAGCCAGTGACTAACTGCTGCTGAAAGGAAGAGGTGCCACATTCCCCCGCTCCCCACCCCTGGCCATGCAGTCTCGCCTCACACCTTCTGCCACTGTGGTGCCCTCCCGATGCTCCCTGTGAGCCCATCTAACTAAAGTCACAGAAAACTGACCATTTGCTCCATTTTTAATGCCATTTTAGAGAGTTAAGTCAGTATGTGGAGAGAGGCAAGAGCAGGTAGATGGGGACGGGGAGCAGGATATCTACCTGTCTTTGTATAGTGAGCTGCTCCTTCAGCTCCCCACGTCCCATAAAGCAGCTCCTGTGCCATTTTGTCCTCTTGAGAATCAGGCAGCTCTTCCAGGGACTGGAATACATCTTCTCAGACAGTTTTTGGAGCTTGTGTCAGACTCTGGATGAGGTGGGCAGCAGTCATGCTTTGCTCATGGCCTGGCCTGGGGGCAGGTTCGTAGATGTGCCCACAGGAGCGCCTGCAGCTCGGGAAGTAGCTACTGGTCTAGGGCGAGCATGGAGAGGGAAAGAGGGGATCCTATAAAAAACAAGTCATAATTCTGCTTAGTTAGTGCCATTTGGGGGCACATGGGTAGGGTTTTGAGTAACGGGAGCAGCCAACCTGTTTTGGAGTGCAGCGAGAAAGGCCGTTTGACATTCTGTTACCATCGCTTTTTGGGGTGGCTGAAAGAGACCATGCTAAAGCTCGCTCTGAACGCGGTTCGAGGTCCTTTCTGTTTACAGATCGCTAATTAAACAAGAAGCAATGGCAGGGTTAGCTCCAGAAGGGATCAGGATAGTTAGGCACATTCCTCTCTGCAGTAGGTTACCCGGGCATGACCATCTCTCTAGGAAGGCATGCGCCTCGTGGCCGGTAGGAGAATGGCCATAGGTCTGCGTCCGTGGCCTGGGCCCCATGGGAAGAGCTGGACGCAGATGCAGCGTAGAGACTCGGCGTGTTACACTCGGTGTGGATGCTATCAGCGGGTGCTCCTGCGGACACTAGGCGTGCTTCCAAGTCTCCTGTGCGTGTCTGTGTCGGATAGAGCCGTGTTGTTCCTTTAGTGAGTGAAATCACCCTTTTATCACATCCTATGTGCGAGTTAATGGTTCTTTGTCCTTCCCCACCCCCCCCTTAATTCAGATGGTGCTGAAACAAGGTTCACTCCTTGTTGCTCCTTTTGTATTTTTTATTATAATTTCCTTTTCTTATTTTATTTTATTTTCATTAACAGCAGGCTATGTTAGCCTTTACTTTACAGGTACTTGAATGCCTGATGACTTGACTGAGTGTTATGCATGTGGCCTTTTGTAAAGGTTACTGACCTTAATTTAATCAGGGGTGAGATGGATGGATGAATGTGAACAGATCCATGCCATTAAAACAGAGTAAAAATAGGGATTAGAGTTTGGGAGAAATTATGAATTTTTAATTGAATTTATTAAAGGGGAAAAAAAAGAAAAAAAGAAAAAGAAAGAAAGAAACCCTCCCCAGTTATAATATGAATGAGATCTCTTGCTGGAGGAGGGTTTCACAATGAGAAAAATGAGACACAAAACCAGGGGCAAATTTCCAAGATAGAAAGTGCCTGGCTCTCCATGCAGTCCCTTGGGTCTGTACAAGATTTTATTTGCCCTCTTTCTATGTTGTGAAAAACTCAAGTTATCACCGTAACTTTTTCCAAAGGTGAATGTTTAAGCTATGCTCCAATTTCATAACGAACACAGTGGTGTGCTAATGCATGGCTATCGAACGCTTTGATCTTTTCCATTTGAAAACACCATGGATTTGATCGCCTTCAGATTTCAATTTCTTTTGTAGAAGCAACTTTGACAAAGGAATTAATCTTTCACCAGTGAGCGCCTTTTAAAATAGCTCATTTACCAAAAGATGTCATTTCAAGAACGGAAGTAATCATTTGACACTGAAACAATAAAAACCAGTGTGAAGTAGACTAGTTTTATTTGTTAATTCTTTAAGTTCCCAGTGTAAGAAACGGTGTCTTCCTCTTTCTCTCTCTCCCCACATATCCCAAATCAAAGGCTACTCGGTGTTTGTCAAAATACCTGTATTGATGGACAGCAATTTCATTAATTCCCCCAGTTAAACGTGCTCTCACAGCACAGGGGGGGATTGGTGTTTGGTCTTTTTTCCAGGCTGACTCAGAAATACAGAAATTTAGGGGTGTCATCCTGACAGGGTCGTTTTTCATGGGCTTTAGTGGGACCTGGCAGGAACGGGCCTGTGGTCTCCTGCCTCACGTGGGCCTTAGCTGGCGTCTGCTGGAAACAAAACTGCATCTTCCAAAGTTTTGTACATCTCACCCTTGTTTAAAACCAAGTCAAGCTGGCCTTTATACCACTTTATTCTAACTGTCTTCACACACATTTCTAAAGTTGGAGTTAAATTAGGGGGGTCAATGGGAATCATCAGAGGCTTTGGGATGCCCCCTCCCACCTTTTCATGATTTTTTTAGTGACTCTTTCTCAGTGGGTTAGTGATGATCCAGTGGGCCCTGTGGCCTTGTACATAATCCTGTATATTTATTTTGAGAGACAATATGTATAGTGTTTGGATGATGAGAATGGAAACATGAAATGGGAATTCTTAGGTGGGAAAATGTAAAGCAAAAAAAAGCAAACAAATACAATCTTATTTTGTATAAAATGTACATTTTTGAGAAAAATTTTCTAATGCATTACCAATGTTTTCATAGTGCTGCCACATCTTTTTTAAAGTGTTTCTCCCTCTTTGTTTGACTATTGAAACATGGTGCAATTAAACCTAAAGCAAGTGTGTGAGTGAGAGAAAAAGAGAGAATGAGAAATTAAAAAGCCATATAATTTGGTTTATTTCATTAACCTGTATAACATCATAGGTTTACCATCTAAAATAGGTTGTTTTTATAGATAGTGTCACCAAAGACTTTTTTTCTTCAGATTTATTTTGAAAAGTTGTTAATAAAGGACGTACATTTCTGCTGCAGTGTGTTTTTATTTTTAAGGTAAAATAACAATTGTTGATTGTTGTTGAAAATGCAGATTTGGGAGCATGATTGCCATGTGTCTCAAGTTCAGGGTAATTAAATGAATGGCTCTTTCTCCTCAACTTGAACCGAGCAAACTCTATGTGTATATCTTGCAAGTCTGTTACACAGATAACATGAATGGTACAGCATCTGTGCACAGTCCAGTAACATTGACGGGTGTTTACTGTCTTACCCGAGGGCAGACAAAATTCGGTCTGTGTCATTTACGTATGGTGGGACAGTATCCCTGTGTTGTGACACAGTAATTGGTAGATAACATTGACTTTTAATAGGAGTCACTATAAATTCCTATGCGCAAAAATGCTCCACCAGCCTGGAGGCCGTGGAAGGCTGATCCCTGAAGGCCGAGAGTGTAATAATTTATTGAGACATATTTATTGTTCGAGGGGTTTCAGAAGCTCATCACAGTCACTGGGGATTACATTCATCCCACCTAACTTTAGATACCTCCAAAACACTCCTGGCTGTCTGAGCCGGACCTCACTGTCTCCTTGTGTAGTCAATGGACAGAACAAAATATTTCTGGGGGTTATCTTCCTCACCTGCTTTAGACATGGACCTTTACAGGAAATAAATTGCATCTCATGTGTACTGGCTTTTCCGCGCTGACAGTACAAGCACACTCATTGCAGACCCTGCAGCACAGGTACCAGCATCTGCTCTGATGAATCCCATGCTGGGAAAGTTCCTGATAACATCACTGGCCTAGAAATTTGAGGGATTTGACATTGTTTTGTTCTGATCAGAGATGTCCAGGGCTGGCCTTATCCCTTGTGGAATTCAGACTGTCAGTGTATGAAGAGGTCCTTAAATCCTGTCTATTCTTCTGGTTTTCTGAGGCAGGACAGGTTTCTCCAAAACAGACCATACCGTACAGGCACTGATGATTTTGGCTATGGGCTTCTCCCCTTCAGAAAAGAAAATAATAAAAAAAAAATGTTACCCTGAAAATAATCCCAGAACAGCATTCTTACTCCTTCAGCACTTCAACACTTGGCTTGTGGCCATGTTATTTATACAAAACAACTTGGGGTGGAATTAATTTGATTAAATATAGAAAGCTACAACTGCAGGAGCTACCAGGAGGCAGTTGTCTACATCAGCAAGTAGCATGGGCTAGTTGGTGTAGAGCTGTAGCCTGAAACCTGAAAAAGGATCCAGTTCATGTGCTCCAGCGCTGCTCCATGATGTGAACCAAAATGAGGTGAGCAGAAAAAAGTGGGATAATCCCTTCAGAAGGGCAAACCTGAGCTGAACCAAGCCACTGCTATAGCTGAGCACCCCTAGCGGTCTATGCAGTCAGTGGAGATCAAATGCAAAATAAATCAGGTGAAATGGTCCCTCAGAGAATTTGTGCCTGCTTCATCTCTGTAGAGATGTATAGAAAAGCAGCCTGTCAGAGGATGGGCTTCACTGGAGATCTCTGCATTGTACTAGCTAGGTGAGAGGCATCCCGCAGTGCATGCAAAGTTAGCTTTGCATGCTAACCTACCACCCTGGGAGTGAAAATATGGCTGGAATAAATCAAAGCCAGGCCAGGGAACTCCCTGGGACTTTGCTTCCTTGCTCAAACTGAGGATCTGGCCCAAAATATGTAGCGCGTAATCAATTCAACTCTAAACGCACTTTTGACTGGAGGGCTATTTTGAAAAATCTCGCTGAAACTCATTGTGCTGTCACTTGAATGGAGATAGATAAGAGAGTTGGCACTGATCATCTTATTTTATTTTCTCTTTTAAATGTTTAGGAAAGAGAAAAGGAACGGGTCCCTGCTTTCCCTTTCTAAAGCCATTAGCTAATTGCATCCACAATGTTATCGGAGAGAAACAGATTTTGCTCAAGATTTTGAGCAGTGTGGCGGTGACATTACAGTAGCTGCACGATGAGCTGTATTCCACACTTTTGTTTCTCTGCATCGCATTCAGGGCTGTACATGAATTTTATGAGCTGCCTGCTCCAGGTAGTGTAGCTCATTTTGCACATTACCTGCATTTCTATGGCGCATTAAGGATGAATGGGTGTTTGCCTGCTGCAGTGGCTCCTCTGTTGGCTCGAGCTCCTCCCCGCTTCCATTCTGTAATTAACTGTTGTTTTGCTGGTGGCGGTGAAGTGAATTAAGGAACAGATATTTTTCTTTCCAGAAAACACAGGATAAAGCCATTCCTGAGATTTCGCAAGAGGGTATTTGAAGAACACAATGTTAACAACAGCTGCTGAGGTAGTGACTGAAACAAACAAACAAACAAAAAAACCCACAGCACTCTTTTGAAGTTGCAACAGAAAAGAGAATTTTGACCCTGTAAAATCTTTCTTCCTCAAACTTCTCCCTTTCTCTCTACTTAGAAACAGCTCACATTCATGTTCGCCAAACAAACACAAGGGATTTTATTCCTTTCTGAAAGAGATCCGCGTTCAGTTCTAGTTCTTAATAAACAGCCTGAGGTCTGTGGCATCACCAGTGGGGTTCTCTTTTGGTAGCCTTGTAGAAGACTGAAAAGATCTTGATTTTTATTTTTTTTAGGAAGAAAGTAGGGCCTTTTTTGTCACCTTGACCTGGAGCTGGAAAAACAGAGTCATCTGCAGCCACTCTGCTCTTTTGAAGATACAAGCCTGAAACAGACTCGTCAGCTACTCAAACATCCAGTTTTTAGTTCTACCACAGTTTGCTAGTCTGCTATGTAGGTACTAGGGTTTTTCTGAAAATCTGCCCTATTTTATCATCTCATCGCCTAAAGCTGCTGTGAAGCCACATGGTGCAGTAGGTAAAGTACTAGTGTCCTGATCACCACGCCCACACTACTGCCACTACTGATAGAGCATCAGGGAACTGGGAAGAAAACATGAAAATGGGCAAGGTAAGAATATCTGAAATTGGTTTTGAAAAACAAGCATTTAAATCACAGTAATGAAGGGCTGATACATCAAAAAGAAACAGATTTTCCTCTTGCTTGAGTTGGTATATAATTCCTCTTATTTATGTTGAAGACAATGGATGGCTTTAGGCCTTGAAAAAGAGCAGAATTAGACTTTTAAAGTTACAATAACTTTTTATTCAGTGATGTCTTAATCCTACTAGATAGCAAAACCACATTTACAGTGTGAGCACCACCTTGTGAGAGGCTGGCAAGAAATCCGACAATCCTCCTGACACAGCTGTGCCTGGAAAGGTCACGGAATAGATCCTCCTGGAAGTGATGTCAAGGCACATGCAAGATGAGGTGATCTGAGACAGCCAGCATAGCTTCACCAAGGGCAAATTGCGTTTGTCCAATCTGGTGGCCTTCTACGATGGAGTGACTGCATCACTTTACAAGGGAAAACTGACCAATGTCATCTACTTGGACTTCTGAAAGGCCTTTGACATGGTCCCACATGACATCACAGAATCACAGAATCACAGAATTTCTAGGTTGGAAGAGACCTCAAGATCATCGAGTCCAACCTCTAACCTAACACTAACAGTCCCCACTAAACCATATCCCTAAGCTCTACATCTAAATGTCTTTTAAAGACTTCCAGGGATGGTGACTCTACCACCTCCCTGGGCAGCCTGTTCCAGTGCCTAACAACCCTTTCAGTAAAGAAGTTCTTCCTAACATCTAACCTAAAACTCCCCTGGCGCAACTTAAGCCCATTCCCCCTCGTCCTGTCACCAGTCACGTGGGAGAACAGGCCAACCCCCACCTCACTACAGCCTCCTTTAAGGTACCTGTAGAGAGCGATAAGGTTGCCCCTGAGCCTCCTCTTCTCCAGGCTGAACAAGCCCAGCTCCTTCAGCCACTCCTCGTAGGACTTGTTCTCCAGGCCCCTCACCAGTTTCGTCGCCCTTCTTTGGACCCGCTCAAGAACCTCGATGTCCTTCTTGTAGCGAGGGGCCCAAAACTGAACACAGTACTCGAGGTGCGGCCTCACCAGAGCCGAGTACAGGGGGACGATCACCTCCCTAGCCCTGCTGGTCACAGTGTTTCTGATACAAGCCAGGATGCCGTTGGCCTTCTTGGCCACCTGAGCACACTGCTGACATCCTGATCTCCAAATGGGAGAGATATGGATTTGAAGGGTGGACCATTCAGTGGATAAGGAATTGGCTTGAAGGCCATACCCAGAGAGTGGTGGTCGATGGCTTAGTGTCTAGGTGGAGGTTGGTGAGGAGTGGTGTCCCTCAGGGGTCAGTCTTGGGACTGGTACTGATTCATATCTTTATCAATGACACAGACAGTGGGATTGAGTGCACCCCCAGCAAGTTTGCAGATGACACCAAGCTGAGTGGTGCAGTCGATACAACAGAAGGAAGGGATGCCATCCAAAGGGACCTGGACAAGCTAGATAAGTGGGCCCATGTGAACCTGATGAGGTTCAACAAGTCCAAGTACAAGGTGCCGCACCTGGGTTGGGGCAATCCCAGACATGCGCACAGGCTGGGAGAACTCACTGAGAGCAGCCCTGCAGAGAAGGACTTGGGGTTCTGGTGGACAAAGGTCTTGACATGAGCCATCAGTGTGTGCTTGCAGCCTAGAAGGCCAACTGCATCCTAGGCTGCATCACCAGAGGGGTGGCAGCAGGGGAGGGGAGGGGATTGTGCCCCTC